TCAACTACTAGTCCTTATAAGGACAAATTTGATCCTAGATACATTCAAGGGGTTTTTGTTGGTTATCCACCAGGGCAAAAGGGCTATAAGATTTATAATCCTATAGCCCTTATAATCCAGACTTACATATTATATTCAGCCCCCATCTAAACTTAACACTTCCATATCTTCAGTGACTCCTTCTTCTTCCACATGTCATTTTTCTTCCACACACGTCTTTTTTGGCAAACTTGTCAGATATTCAAGAACCACATACTTACAATCATGGCAGAACTAATGAGAAGTGGGTACTGGCCATGCAACAAGAACTGAAAGCACTAGAAGACAACCAGAAATGGAATCTTACACCCTTACTTGCTGGCAAGAAAGCTATAGGTCATAAATGAGTTTTTAAGGTCAAGTGTCACTCAGATGGTACTGTTGAGAGATATAAAGCCCGGTTGGTTGCAAAGGGATACAACCAAATTGAAGGAGAGGATTTCTTTGAGGTCTTCTCACTTGTCGCTAAAACAGTAACAGTGAAATTGTTCTTGGCTTTGGCAGTTGTCTCTGGATGGCCTGTCTACCAAATGGATGTCAACAAGTCCTTCCTTCATGGTCATTTGGAAGAAGATGTTTACATGGTCCCTCCTCCTGGTTATGATAAAGCTAGTACTTCTGTTGTTTGTAAACTGAAGAAATATCTATGGCCTCAAACAGGCATCTAGACAGTGGAACAATGAATTCACCTCTCTCTTGATCTCTTACGGTTTCTCTCAGCCTTATCATGACTCCGCCTTTTTGTCTTGAAGAAACCAGGCCTCCTACTTATTCTCTTGGTCTATGTTGATCATATTTCATCACAGGTTCTCATGAAGAAGAGATCTCTAAGGTAAAACGGTTGTTGGATCAGGCTTTTACTATCAAGGATTTAGGACTTGCAATGTATTTCCTTGGTACGTAGATTACAAGAAATGATGCAGGGATGTACTTATCTCAAACAAAGTATATCACCAACTTGCTTTGGGATACTGGCATGTTAGACTCTATCCCCACTGCCACTCCTTTTCCTAGGGATCTCAAATTCAAGAAAAAAGATCCAACACCTCTTTGCTCAGATCCTACTGCTTACAGAAGACTTGTAGGCAGACTTCTCTATCTCAGCTTTACCAGACATGACTTGACTAATGACATTCAGCAATTGAGTCAGTTTGTGAATGCCCCTCATGAATCACACTGGAATGCAGCTATGTACCTTCTTAGATACTTGAATGGTACTATTTCCAAAGAACTTTTCTACTCTTCCTCTTCTGATTCTGTTCTCACAGCCTATTCAGATGCAGATTGGGGATCTTGTGAATTCTGCAGACATTCCTTAACTGGCTATTGCATTTTCTTGGGCTCCTCTCTTATTTCCTGGAAAACAAAGAAATAGGCTACTATTTCGACTTCATCAGCTGCAGCAGAATATAGAGCTATGGCAGCAACTGTTCAAGAACTGAAATGGCTGACTTATATCATGAAGGATATGTCTATTCCTATTTCTCTCCCTATTGTTTTTTGGTGTGACAGCAAAGCAGCTCTCCACATCACAGCTAACCAGTCTTCCATGAAAGAACCAAGCGCATTGAGATTGATTGCCATGTTGTTAGAGATGCATACAAGGCAGGTTTCATCTCTCCTTCTCATCTTTCTTCTTCCTCTCAGTTAGCAGACATGTTTACCAAGTCTCTTGCCGCTCCAGCTTTCCATTACTTATTAGGCAAGATGAGCCTTTGGGATTCATCCCCGGCTCATCTTGAGGGGGGTGTGAAGGAATTAAAGTCTGGTGATCAGCTAGAATCAAAGCAGGATCAGCAGCATGATGTGCATTCTGTAACTGGTGATGCTCATCCTGTGTCGATGGATGTGCATCCAGTGATAATAGCGGGAATTTCAGATTCAAACATTCAAACTTGTACATGTGTTTGTGCTGATATATCCTCTTTTATATAGTGCTATAAGCCTGTTAGTAAGGATAGATTAGTCATTTACACTATGGCGGTTACTCAACTCAAACCGCCTTAACATGTATAAATACAGAATCAGGACACTTAATGGGACATATTTTCAGACACATTAAACACGTTTCTTTTAATTCCCAAATTTGTTCATTCTATTCACTCAAACCCTAAGAACATTTGTGAGCCAAACCTCGCTCACTTTCCATTTAGCATTAAATTTTGTGTGTGAATATGATCCTATTGCAGCAAAAAAAAGAAAACTTTTTGTTCATTTGTCAAAGTTATTGTCATTTTGATTTTATTAAGCATTGATTTCTAGATGATCTATGCTACGATCCTGTTGTATTTGAATGTCAAACGGCAGAAGCTAGCCGCTGATCAATTCTAGGTGTGTATGAATTTGGATTTTTCAATTAAATGTAGAACATTTTGTTTACGGGTTGTGTTGATTAGAACCACAAGAGATTCACTTTTTGACCGTTACAGATTTAGAGATAGATGCTGAACGCAATCGTTCCCCTGGCATCTGATCATGGTGATCAAGGAGGAGTAGTTCATCATCAGCCTGATCCTGATGATGGCCTGAACGCTGCTCATTTGTTGCCTGCAGAGCTCCATGATGAATTAGGTAGCTGAAGCTGAACCTTCTTCTTCCTCTTCTGCTATGAGAGGTACTCTATTTTTCAGTTATAATTCCCTGAAATTCAAATGGATGTAAAATATATCAGAAGTGAAGATTTTGATATACATCTTTTGATGATCCGCTTGATGATAAGCGGGCAATGCACTGTTTGTTCAGCTTGGAAACCCCGTCAAAACATGAAGAACGGGTTTTGCCAATGATAATGCCTATGTGTGCTTGGGTTGTCTGTGGGATCGTTTGGAAGAGGCGAAAGGAGAGGGTTGCCTTCACCTCCCTCCATGCCGATTCTGCGGGCAATACTTGAGGATCTGGCCCTATCTTCACCCAACATAGATCACAGGTACTTCCAGACCTTCATCAAAGCCTGATAGTAATTGGATGATCCATAATCTAGAAATCAAATAGCTAGCCATGTTGCTGCTAGGTAATGAATTGCCCAAAAAAAAAAAAAATTCAATGAAAATGTAGCAACATTTGTTTACTGGTTTTGTTGTCATCCTATAAAGATTCACTTTTGATAAGTCTCAGAATCGCAATACCCACGCCCAAGTTCTCAACATGATGCTGAAGCTGGACCTTGTTCTTGTGCTGAGTCAGCTGCTGATGGCTTACCATTTCCAATAATTGAGAAATGAAGAAGGGTTGCTACAATGCCTTTTTTGCTGAATTTGTGATCTTCGAAGCTGTGTTCCTGGGAAGGAAAAGGAAAAAAAAAAAAAACAAAGGGCTTACAAGAGCAACCCAGAATATGATTGGGAAACTGGATGGAAGTGGCTTTTGGAGCTTTGTGACTGTTTTTGATGTAGTTAGATTTTAGTTGTTGACATTACAGTTCATTCATGCATCATGGGACTCTTTTTGATGTAATCCCTAATTCATATGGTGTTGGGGGAGATCCAGTGTTTTTCTATACACTCAATTTTTTCTCTTCAAGTTATCTGCATCTAAATATCACTTGATCGTCTGTATTTCATCTAAGTTTGGGGGATTATTCATCCAATTTTTGAGATTATCACTGGATGAATTTGATCAAATTCTTTTTTTTTTTTTTTGAAACAGAATTGAATATAACGAGAGCAGAGGTCTGTCAAGTTTGTAATCCTGTCTTATTCTGTCTAGGAGCTAGAACGACCTCGTTTTGCTTGGGAAAGGAATATTCGCTCCTTCCTTTACTCTTTTCCTTTGATTCAAGACTCTTCTAGCTTCTATCCTTCATCGCCGACGGCGACCATCCTTTTCACCATCTCTGCCATCCATCTATTTCCGCCCTTAATTTTTGAACTTTCAAATGCTTGATTTCAGATTTCAATGTGATTAATTGTGGCCCAATTAATATCAAAACGACGGAATGTCGATTTCTTTGTGACAATTTTTTTTTTTTTGGGAAAAAATTAGTTCAGTTCAAAGTTTTGTGCCTAGCGTGATTGCAAGCTTTTCTTTCTTCTCCCTTTTTTTTCATATTCTTTTTTTTTTAATAATGTTTGCCGTATTCTTGATTTAAATTATGTTTCAAAATCTGAGCATTGTTGTGTTGTTTACTGCCGTATGCGTCTAAATGTGGGATAAATCTGCTATCCTAGCTCTTTTGTTTAGATGATTTCACCGGTGGGGGGATTGCAGAAATTGGGGTTGGACTTGAAGTGGAATTTTTGTTGCTCTAGTGCCCTAAGGAAAAAAAAATGTATAAGAAAAAAAAATAAAAAGGGAAACATAAGTCCAGCCTTTTTTTAACGTCGTAAAATGACGTCTTTTTATGTCATGGACTATATAAGACAGGACAATCCTTGACAGACGATCCTTCTTTGTTTGTCAACTTATTTTACATTTTAATTCATTTTATCTCTTAAACACAAAACCCAATGGAAAAGAAAATATCATCCAAACAACTTTCTGATTAACATTTTAAATTCCAACTTGAAACACTTTTTGTTAGTGTAATGACCAATTTTGAAAAGGAAGTAGTTCAATGACGAAATTTCCATTTTTTCATTTAAATTGGAACTGACAATAGTTTCAAAATAAATAAATAAATAATTGGAACTGGCATTTCTACATCATATTTTTAAAATAAATTTTTATTTACACGTCTTCTAAACTTAAAAGGCAAATGCAGTCCAAATCCATCTCTACCTCCTACTTTGGCCAAAACCAAAAAAAAAAAAAAACCACGGGTTCATTATAAAAAATCCAAATCATCATCCCCATCTCCATGACAATCGACTTCCTAATCAATCCCTTCTCCACAAAAAAAAAAAAACAAATTCCTCATCAATTATTAATTGAAAATCAGTAAGCATATCCACTACACCAAATTAAAAAAAGGGATGAAGATAAGCTGAACTCATCTCAAAAATATGCACCAAAAAAACAAAAACCTAACGCACTGCAATTAATCGCCCAATCACCAGGAACAATGCTACTGCTGTGCACCACCGTAATCCCAAATTTTGCTCCTCCATGGAGTGGAAGCCTATAAAGGCAGAGCAGGCCAACACAATGACCAGGAATGGCAACTTGACCATCCTCCTCACCACATTCTTCTTCTCTGCAGTCTCTACATACATTAGCGCAATCATTGAGAAAGTGAGGCCCAGCATGATCAACACTGCCCCAAGTGTAAACATCCTGTGCTTTATTATCTTATAGTGATCAGCAGCATATAACGGTGTCAGGGTGGCAACCCACCCAGTGATAAGCCAGAGCAGCGTTCTCCTAAGCCCTTTACGGTCATCTTCGGTCATGTTAGCATCCTCCCGAGGTTCAGGCAGCTCAGCAAGTCTCAGACAGTCCTGTCAAACAGTTCACTATTGTTTTAGCTGGAATATCGGTTCAATTCAGTGCACATTTAAAATTTAATAAACACTGGTTTTCAAAAAAAGAATAATAATAATAAAACTTTTAAACTAATTTTGTTATCTCTAATTAACCATGGGAATTGCATCAAACATTTTGATACGACAATAAATCTCTTATTGTTTAAGCACTTTTGAGCTATAGACAGATCCATTGCGGATAAAATGGGTACATGAGACAGCTAATCCTATATATTTTATTTGTTTCCATAAAATCCTACTCCCTCTGACCCGAAAAATTAATCAACATGGAGGTTCTAGATTTTGTTCTATCTCAAAATTCAATGTATATTTTTTTATTTTTATTTATGGATAGAGGGAGTATTCGATATCAATATTATCATATCTTTTTCTACGAGTATTGTACATACATGATCAAATGATGGAAAGGACCAAACGGGAAAAATTCTTTTGTTAATTTGATTAATAATATATCATTTTTTGAAAGTCCAAACATCTATTTAAATTTCCATCATACCAATATTTAAATTTTTCTAGATGTCCAAAGTTGGACATTTATATATCATTGATGAAAATATATATCCACCTATTTAATTATTGATCATTTGTTGAATACAAAAAAAAAAATTGAGACATAGGAAAAAAAAAAAGCCTTAGCCAAATTAGTATACTAAATCTCGCACGTACTTAATTTTGGATGTTCTTAATTGATGCTTAGGAGAAATAATTATAATCCAAAAGCTTTAAAACGATTAAAAGTTAATTTAGATAATCCACGAGTTCTATTACTTGTACATTGTACTGACGTGCACAATGCTTCACTGAAATTTGGAGGGAAAAAATGGTTTTGGTTCACTACATCTTTAAAGTTTATCTTTTGTACTAAAATAATGATCTAATGGTCATTTTGAAGCAAATACATAGAGACAAATATTCTTAGATACATTTGGTCTAAAAGTTGAATTCGAGGTTTGATTTATCATCCATATTTTAATCAAGAAATTTGTGGCAAACATAGTTGTGATGATTTTAGATCGTTTGTGAGCTAATATATTATTGATCCTTTGAAAGTATATGATGATTCAGGAGCATTTGCTGAATTGTGCGATGAACTAAGGAATTCCCTTTTCTGAGACATTTTGAAAATTCATGTACTGAACAATAGGAGATATATATATCTTATAGCTCTAAGCACATTAAGTTATGATAAATGTTCCATCATCGGTTTATTTTATTCGTGCTTTGGCTTAAAATTTTTGCATAATGATCCAAAAAACAAAGACTCCTTTATTGTAGAAAATATATATAGCCTTTCCTTCTCTTACGTCTTCCTACTAAAGAGAGTTTTCAAATTCCAAATCATTTCAAGGAATTAGATGAATATGGATCAATTTTTAAATTACAAAGAGGTTTTACGTGTTTTTTGGCAACTTCAATTACTGATGTGCATATTCTAACATAGTAGAAGCTAGAAGGCCATCAAATAATATAAAGAATTGCAACCACATGCCATGTCAAAATATTTTTATTACTTTTACAATTTAATCAACATATCATATTTAGGGGTGTTCAAAAAAACCGACACCGATTAATCGAACCGAAAATCGACATAAAACCGAGTCGGTTAATAGGTGTTGGTTAAATGGTTTTTTGCCGGTTAATTGGTTGGGTTTTGGTTTTACTTATACCTTTCTCGGTTAAACCGAATAATCGATTATAATAATTAAAATTTATAAATCTAAAAAAAATTCTATGTTTCATATTTCTATGTCATTAATCTCTTTCATTTTGTCAATTTATTTCACTAAAAAATTCTGTTGTAATAACTTGATTTTTGGTTGAATAGACCATTATAAAAAAGAAAGGTTTTGATTATTTTTATTGTAGATTGAGAGTTTAAAAAAGAGTTTCATTATTTGATTGTCTCAAAATATGATATGAACTATATAAATTAGTAGAACAAAATTTAAAAGTTAAGCTAAACATTAATTATATTTTGTTCAAAAAAATATGACAATATTATCGGTTAAACCGGTATAAACCGATAATTGAATCGAAAACCGATAAATCGAAACCATTAAACCGATGACTTTATCAGTTGGTTAATCAGTTTTATCCAAAACTGACAAAACCGAAATTAACTAAAATCGATTAACCGGTAAACTGGCTAACCGATTGGTTAAACACCCCTAATCATATCTATTAGAGATTTTTTAAAACAAAAAATGCTGAAATGTGAAAAATAAAGCATATGTGACATAATTGATAATTATAATCAGGTGCTTGACATAATTGATAATACTGATTTTTATGGATGGATATTTGTGTGGACAATTTCTTGAGATTTAGCAATCTTTCCTCATTTTCTTTTTACAAGAAATTCATATTAAATGGTCTCAAATTTTGTCTCATGGCAACAAAAGACCCAAATAATTCACATAAATTAACTTTAACTTCAAACTAAATCTTAAACATAACATAATTCAAAAGGAATTCTTTAAACATAAACCATATTGGACCTTTTTATAACTACTCTTCCTCCAATTGTTCCCCCAGTGGCAGCCTTTTCACCCATAACATCGTTCTCAATTCCACGATTCTTCTTCTCAAGTTCACTAACCTCCTTAACCAAAGAGTTCAAAATTCCAATTTTCTCTTCAAGTTCAGTTTAGAAAATTGAAACTTTCACCATGTAATCACCGGTGAAAACTCTCATATAGTGGTTCCCTAACTCCGGAATAGAACCAACTCGAAGTTTGCAACCAACCGAAAATCCCCCACTCTCAAGAACTACAAGCAATACGATCATATTTGATCCAACATAAAAAAAAAAAAAAAACCTTTTGTGCTTTGGTCTTCCTCATGAAATCCTTCTCCAATTCGTCCCACGCCTTCAAATCATTAGAATGGACATGCACATGTAAATCTCCCAGCCCTTATCGATTCTGGAATCGCGTTCGAGGGTGGGTCGTGTTAGAGAAATCTTATCCACCAGTCCCGCGACACAGCCTCGATCAAATGCCTTCTTAGCTCTTACCATCATTGTGTCTTGCAAAAGACGAGTTGCAGCTGCAGCCGAGTTGCGGAATCCGCTTTTTCCCATTGTCAAGTTGATAATAGAAAAGTAGATTCACAATTCAATCCCAACCTCAACCTCAAACTCGAATTCGCTGGAATGTTTGCAACTAACGAGGGAAATGGAATAGCTATCTTTCCTCTAATTTAGTTGAAATTTAGAAGGAAAAGAAATTCCTTTATGTTGTTTCTATTTGTTGCAAAAGATTTATAGCTTTTTTTCCCTTAAAAGATATGATCTATTTGTAAAAATTCACACAAAAAATGAAATGTTGGATTAGATGATGAGTTTAAAGACAATACTAAATAAAAGAATATTTGGGGAAGAAAACATCTTCCCTCAATATTTTGTTTTATTTTTAATTATTGTATTGTTCAATAGTTCCCAATCTACTGACCAGGAGTTCACTGAAAATCAACGTTCACGATCAAACTGATTCCGGGTCTTTTGAAAATCACGGTTCAGAGTCTACTGATCCCGAGTCATCTATCAATCCCACTGAGAAGTTAGAACATGTAGTTGATAATATCGGTAAGAATATTAAAAAAATAAGTATTGAGAGGAAAAAAGAGAGGGCAAACCTTGAGATCAGTTGGTAGAAGAGAAGGAAAATGGTTTTGTATAAGCAGAGAGTGCTTGCATTGGAGGCCATGGACTGCCAACGAGATTCAGTAGACACCGCTTTGCATAAAAGTTGTGGATAGAGGTGAACATTACAAATAATTTCTTTTCAAATTCTTTTACATTCAAGGTCAATGTAGCTATCCTTTCCAAAACTTCTATATAGAAACCCTGAAGTGCAAAACCGTGATCATAAATTATAAGATAAATGTTCCTACAAATGAAAATCATGTTCAGAATGGTATTTGGGAGAAGTATTCACTGGTTGTGATAAATTTTGTTTGTGAAAAGAAGGTTCCTAATTGTCTACGTAGTGGTCTTGCTGCTGGAGATATGAATATTAAAATGGGTGGCGGTCTTACTGCTGAAGATGAAGATGTGAATCTTGAAAGGGGTGGCAATCTTGCAAAAGGAGATACGAATGTTGAAAGGGGTGGTCATGATGTGAATGTTGAGTAAGGTTCAAGATTTGGTGCGGAGTAGTAACTAATTTTGTCCAAAATTTAGTCCTTTTTAAGCTATTAATCTGAGTGGTTTTTTGGTTAATTTGTTGGGGTGGATTAATCTTGACATGTTTTAATTTGAAGTGTATAAGTTTGGTTGGATCTGTATAAATCATAAATTATGAAGTCCCCAAACATTCATAGTGAATTTCGACAGGAATTTCTCTTGACGTAATAACACGTCGGTCCAGCCGCTATTGGAGACACAAAGGACTATCTAAATGGATTTGTTTCTGATGGTAAGCCCGAATTGTATCATACGAATTAAAAAAAAAAGGTTCTTTCGTGTACTCATACTTCTTTTCGTTTCATCCTTGTTGCGATTACGTGGATCATATTTAGTTACACAAATAGTTCGGCGATTTTCACTAATTATTACATAGAGCCCCATTAGCATAACTTGGGTTGATACGGAAATAGGATCCCCGATAGCCGGAGACAAAAGATTCTGATGCAAAAACATAAGCAAACGCGCCTCCGCTTGGGATTCCAAAAATAAAGGTACATGAATAGCCATTTGATCTCCATCAAAATCCGCATTGAATCCCTTACAAACTAATGGATGGTTCCAAATCATGTCAAGGAGTTAGATGGATGGGGATTAATTTCCAAATTACAAAGAAGTTTTGCATTTTTTTTTTTTTGACAGTTTCAACGGCTCAGTTGAAGTATAAGGCCATCCAATATTTTGCTAACCATCATTAGGTAAATCGAATTTTCATTAGTCGATTTAAATTTCAACTTCAAAAAATATTCTCTTTACCTCCCTATATAAATACAAAGGAAAAAAAAAATTCTCATTGATCTTGCTTCGGCCGTTGTGGTGGTGCCATTACAGATATTAAAATTTAAATGATTTTATTTTCACAGATCATTGGTTTGGCTTTTATTATTTTTTGTTTTTCCCGTTCAAGAATAATGTTATTACTATTATTTTTATGCGTCCATCCGTTACAGCTACCGTAGCCGTTGTCAGGTAGTATGATGTGATTTCTTATTTAGTTAGTTAGCCTAGAATTTTTGTATGATTTTAGTTATGTTTGGATTGAATTGATTGATTGGGTTTTTGTTACAAAGTGTGGTTTTTTAAATTTGTTTTTTATGTTTCATTCAATTAGAGTGGTTTTTTTTTTAATTATGGAGTCTCAGGTTTTTTTCGTATATGGCCAATTATGAAGTGTGTTTTTTCTTTGTTTAATTACTTTTGATTTTGTTTCATACTCCCAGTTGACCAATTATTATTATTATTATTATTGTTATTATTATTATTATTATTATTATTTTATTTACAAATGAAGCACGTTTCTTTTTTTGTGTTCGGGGTTTCAAGAATATACTTTTTTGGATTTGGTTTTTGGACTTTTTTTAGTTCCTCATCATATAAATAGTTCAAGTCGCTTCTTTTAACTAATTTATGGGGAATCCTTTTATGAATTTGAGGTGGAGAGGGAAGGAATGATGTTTCTACGTTTATTTGTGTTTTTATACATCATTTTTACCTACAGAAAAAAAATTAAAATTTTCAAATTTAATGGGCTATCTTTTACTTTTTTGTTTTTTCTTTGCCATGGTGAGGTGAGTTCTTTTTTGCTATATCTTGAAACCTATGCAAATTTACATTATTTTCATTCTCATATTTGTGATCAACCAGTTTCAACAATTAACCAGTTTCAACATCATATTCTTGATATTTTACTGCCTATAAACTTTTGGAAGAAATAGTTCCAACAATTAAGCGTATACCCTTTGGAGGAAGCTAACTACAAAGTTATTATAAATTTCCAAAACTAAGTATTGATTTGGCACAACCAATGGAGAAAATCAATAAATTATCTTACTAATATTTAAACTTATTAGGATGTTTTTATATTTTGTCTAGCATTTATTTCAAGACATATATTTGATCAAGTTTATTTATATTTAAGAAGTAACACTTATAAAATATTTCTAAAATCTTCAAACATTTCTAAAAAACGTACAAGGCCAAATACTATTTATTTTTTTGCCAAATACAAATATCACACTTATAAAACATTTCTGAAATTCTTCAAATATTTCCAAAATATATCGGGTCAAATACAAAATTTTTTTTTCCAGATACAAGTATTTCTAAGATTTACATATATATTGGGCCAGAGTCACGCATTGCGCGACCAGACATCACTAGTAATCTATAAGTAGGAATTAAACCATCGTCAAAATACCATATAATCGCAGGGACAGACCCACGTTGAGGCTTTGACTATACAAAAATATGTTATCATCCCAACAATTAAGTATTTGTGCATGTGGGATAATGAAAATTTAATTAAACACTAAATTATAAATTCAAAAATATATCATCACACGTCCAAATGAGTTTTAAATCTTTCTGTATTTATTTCAAATTCCAAATTTTACACCTATTAGTGTGAAATGTGCCATAAGATAATATAAAATTTATCTAAATAAATTTAATGATATAATTTAAGTATTTGTGCATGTGGGATAATGAAAATTTAATTAAACACTAAATTATAAATTAAAAAATATATCATCACACGTCCAAATGAGTTTTAAATTTTTCTGTATTTATTTCAAATTCCAAATTTTACACCTATTAGTGTGAAATGTGCCATTAGATAATATAAAATTGATCTAAATAAATTTAATGATATAATTTACATTTTTAAAAAGTTTTAAAAATTTAGTGGACATTAAGCCCCTCCCCAACAATCAAAAGCTGGTTCCGCCACTGTATAATCGGTACGTGTTTTCCTCGTACATAATTTTGGATTTTGCTTATTTTTTCTACCAAAATTATTATGCTCAAAGTTATAATAAAAGTACATCATCATGCATCACTTATACACTAGTCTTTAGAAATTATATTCCAAGATAAATGATTAACTAAACTATTCATAATTTAAGTTAGTAGTATAGGCCTCTAATCTCAATACATAATTTAAGTTAATATAGGCCTCTAATCTTTACACACATAAAAGTCCCTAACTTTGTTTTAGACAGGATTCGATTCCGAACCTTTAATCTTAGCTACACCCCTCTCAATACTCGAATTAGCCTACTTTTCCCTGTATTTCTTTTTTTTTTAATCAAAAACCCTAGTGTGCGAGTTTTTCCTGTATTTCATTTTATTTCTGGATACTCATTCTATTTCATGTAATCCACAAACAAAGAGATGTCGAGTGATTGAATAAAAAAAAAAGAGATGTCGAGTGATACTAATTAGTTAAGGTAACTGGACCAAACGAGTATAAATGAAGATGATCAAGGAAAATATTTCTGGGCTGGCTAAAGAAAATTTTGAAGGCCTTTTTTTTCCAAGATAATTAAACTTTATTAATTATTTTGAAATTTAAAACGTTCAACACCAAGCGAGGGGTATAAATCAGTAAATTACATTCCAAAGTTTATGGAAGGCATCTAGATCATAACTAATACATGATGCACCCCAAAAATAATTGAATCTATCAATATCAATTAGTCTATGTATATATAATTCAGTAGTTGTACTTGCTCCTTTTATTGATTTGAGCATAATTTGTTTTTATGTTCATCAGCCCCACTGCGCCCAAAAGAAAAGATAGTACAGACAGAGCGTATATATGAAAGCAAAGGTTCCCACTCTTTTATACTAACCCCCCACCCAGCCCCGCGAATAAAGGAAAAAGAAAATAAGAGTTAATATTATGGTGGGACAATGGGAGTGTAAAATTATGGCTTGTGGGTTTATATTAAAGTTAGGAATGAAGTTGATCATCTGGGTTTGATAGTTTATTTGTAATGCCCTAACACTTTAATATGAACCGTGGCAATAGAGTTATTATTATGAAAGTAGTGAGATTTTAGATTAACAACAATGACCTTTAATATATGGAACTATAATATGTCAGGTTGAGCCATTTACCCAACAAATTACTGTTTAAGATACTATTGCAACTAAAAAGGAAGGAATTACTTACATTAAAATATTGGTATATAAATGGTTAGGACACAAGGTAAAAGGAATTGCCGAAATTTTTTATTCTACAAGTTTCACAGTCTCTTAAATGTTCCATTTGTAAAATATTCAAATTTACAGTGAAGATGGTACGAAAAATGATTCAAAGGTGATTCTGCTACAATAACTTTTAGCATCCTCTCGTCTGGATAGATTTTCTTCAAAAATTATTGGTGAGTAGTAAATTCAAACTTACCCCAATCTCTAGTTTTCTGTGCTTGATTCCAGACTCCAGAATTAGAACCCTTCGTTATATTTAAAACTTCAAGCAATTAAAGTCTGGAACAAATCCGAGACAATTAAAAATTATAACCTAATGAATGCCATGAATGGTGAAACTAAATGGCAGTTATAGGGGGAGAAGCACTGGTTCACAGTGGGTTTGAGCTATTGAGGAGCGACTGAATTTTCCTTTGAGTAAATTCAGTCGAAATCGACCCGGTACGGTCACTGGTAGGAAGTATTCTTGCTCTTTTTCGCCGAAGTATAGGAAGAAAGATGGCCGAGCGTGAGGTGGAGGCTGATGAGAGTTGATTATGATAAATACATGTATTTATTAGAGGGATAGTTGTGTATTTTCACACTAAAATTTGCTCTGCGTACTAAAAGTTATTGTGACAAAATCACCAGCGTAATAATTAAGTAAACGACAAAATTTGTAAGATTAAACTCTTATGTCCCAAACTATGTATGTGCGTAAGGAATCTATTCTAAGAGATTATATTATGGAATTATAAATATTCACTCCTACGTGTATCTCATTAAACCACATGTTTCTTGTGAGAATAATAATAATATGATATAAACTCTCCATAAAAAAAAAAAAAAAAAAATCAAAGTAAATCAACTAACTTTGTTAAACATTTAAACACAAGGGACGAAAATTGTAAATCCTCTTAAATTTTGTAGTATAAATGTATTAACACATGCGATTCACAGTCAACGAATTGCAGTACACTTTATGGATCATATGGCAGAAGCACATTTTCAACTTCCACCGCTAAAAGTAGCAGTGATCGGTGCCGGAGTTTCGGGTCTTCTCGCCGCCCGCGAGCTTCAGCGGGTCGGTCTCAATGCGGTGGTTTACGAAAGATCCGACCAAATCGGAGGAACATGGGCGTACACTCCAGAAGTGGAAGAAGAAGATCCACTCGGGTTGGATCCAAACCGGAAAATCGTTCACAGTAGTCTCTACAAATCCCTCCGAACCAACTTTCCGCCGGCGCTTATGGAGTTCATGGATTATCCCTTTAATGTCGGTGGCGGGTTTGATAGGAAGACATACTTTGCAACCCACGAAGAAATCCTCCAATTCTTGAAGAATTTTGTCGCGCATTTCGGGCTTGAGAAGCTCATTCGGTTTAGTACCCGAGTTGTTCGTGTTGAGGCAGAGGACGTTGGCCGGAGATGGATTGTTGAGTCGAAAAAAGAAGCTACCGGAGGGATGGGAAGGCGATCCGACGAAGAACTGTTTGACGCCGTTGTGGTTTGTAATGGTCATAACACACAGCCAAGACTTGCAAATGTCGCAGGTGCGTAAACATTATACTATTTTCGTTTCAAAATGATTGTCATGTATGTTTTGTGTGGTATATTTTTTTATAAAATTTGTAAATGTGACATTATACTATTTTCGTTTTCAAAATGATTGTGATATTTGTTCGAGCGATATACGTTGTATATAAAATGTTGGGCACGAGAAATAATACATGTTCAGGTTGTCAGTGCACATGATTTTGTTGAATTTAGACGACAAACGTAACAAAAGGAAAAAAAAAAAAAAAAAAAAAAAAGGAAAGAAGAAAAGTATGCATGAATCACGAGTTGTGATACACAGTGCGCATGAATTGAAATTTTTAGTGCTTTATTCTTATCAGGAATCAAAAGATGGCCTGGAAAACAAATTCACAGTCACAATTATCGAGTTCCAAAACCTTACAAAGATCAGGTATGTTAATTATCATGGTTACTTAATCTCCCTTTGTAGATTTACATCATTAGTCCTTAAGCTACCATTTATTCAGAAATTGTATTTAATCTAATGGGTTATGAAATCTCCCCCGCAGGTTGTAGTTGTGATTGGTGGTGGACCAAGCGCCTATGATATTGCATTTGACATTTCAAAAGTAGCAAAAGAAGTTCATATCTCAACCAGACATCCTCAAGCAGAGGTTAAAAAATTTGGGACATGTAACAATATGTGGCAGCATTTACAGGTAACAAAAACTTTAATTGACACTTCTATATGCATTTTGCTAATAAATCTACTATTTCTTCACACGAAAATTTATCAACGGAAAAAACACATTCATAGACAAAGTTGAAATCTAAAAGGGAAAGAAAAAAAAGAATTTCGTCATGAATTGTGGGAAAAATAATTATAATATACATCTGTTAAAAAAATAATTCATACTGAATTTTAAGATCTGTAGATCGTAAAACCTAGAAAAAGCCACTTCAATGCTTAGTCATTGCTTTGAGTAAATTATTGATTAGGTAATAATTTGTGATTATTTAATTACTAAGATTCCATCGCAATTATCATCATCTATAATTGGTTGTTTAGTTCAAGTTTGTTATTTACTTTGTTTACGCTTCAATGATTGGAGTTCGTAACAGGATGCATGATAACTAAGACAAAAAAAATACAATCATGCATTCATCATAGGGTACTGCCATTCAATAATGCACGGTTTTCTTGTCTCCTAGCCTAACTTCATCGTCTCCTAGACTTTTTTGAAACGGTTGAAGAAAATGTAAATTAATGGAACAACACTCGAAAGAAGAAGGAAGAAAGCTATACAGAAGCTTTTCTAGTTTCCAGTTAGGTAAATGGAGCAACGATTTTACACGTATAGTAACATTATAACCTGTTCAAATTATCATCCAAGTCACTTACGTTATTGTTACTATTTTTCTCTAAATATTTGTTACATGTATATAATTATCAATCTATTACGGTTCATTTGTACCTTTTTTTCTCGAGTTTTGTTGAATTTGATGCATCTCTGATCAAACTGATTCTTTTTTTATTTATAAAAAAAAAAAGGAAAGTTAAACGTTGAAAGTAACTTGTAGATCAAAGAGTGCCACGAGAATGGAGAAGTATGCTTTGAGGATGGAGCATCAATTGTTGTCGATACCATTATTCATGCCTCCGGGTACATACATTTATCTCCTTATTATTTTCTTACTAGGAGTTTTGTTTCCTTTAATTTTAGAACATACAAATTTTAAATTTCTAAATTTTGTTTTTTTTCCTAGTTTACATCCAACTTTTTATCCATACCTTTATTTATTAATTATTTAATCTTCACTGTCGCTAATCCAAATTTTCTCTTATTTTAATTTCAATAGTTAATATTACCCTGTTTGGAAATGCTGAAATTCTTCACAAATCTAGCTAGCTATGCCAGCGAACCATAAATGTACGGTTTGCATTATGATTATTATCATTATTTCCTCAATATAAACTGAAATGAAATTTTGAAACTGTAATTAACAGGTTCAAATATGATTTCTCTTTCCTGAAAACAAATGGAGTTGTGACAGTTGATGACAATAGGGTTGGACCTTTGTACAAGCACGTCTTTCCTCCCCAACTTGCTCCCACCCTTTCTTTTGTTGGCATCCCAAAACAGGTTCATTCTTTTCCTTAAAAAAATTAGTACAATAAAAATTAAATTTCAGGACTTACTGAAATATCCTTTGGCAAGGCATGATGAACAAAGTTGAGAGAGTCCCATAACATGCATGTATTCCATTCTTTCTAAATATGATTGCTCTATTTGTTATATTACTGTTTAATTATAATTAAAATAATTAAGATTATCATTTTAGGACATACAGACTACTTTGTTGATGTTCATAACATCCAATTCTATTACTCTCTAAGGGTTCAAAACTTCAAATCGGAATTTTAGATCCTGTGGATCATATTGCCACCCTTAGTTTATAATCTCATTATTCATTTTTATTTTCTTTTGCCATTTTGAATAAAAATATTTAGTATTCTTCTAGACAGTGAATTTTCGGATGATAGAATTGCAAGCCAAGTGGGTGGCGCAAGTGTTATCTGGGAAAGTGGCACTGCCTTCAAAAGAAGAGATGTTGGCAGATGTTGAATTACATTACCTGCAAATGGAAAAGAATGGCATCCCAAAGCATCATACCCACACCATAGCCTTGCACTCATATTATAAAGGGGTAAGCCTTCTCTAATTCACCATTTTGACAAATGCACTGCTATTGCTCTCTCCGTCGCACACCCCCACCACACACACAGTTATATTGGGGATCAAAATCAATATGGTAAACATGACTTTTTTTTAATGAAGACAACTACGTTTTCGAGGATTAATTTTAATATTAAACTTTTACTTTGACATCATAATATTTTCATCAGACAGAGAAAGTAGTATTCTCGAATTTTAGTATATGATAGGGTATTTTAGCTACTGAAAGGGGAAAAAAAATACTCCTTTCATCCTGAAAGAAAGTCCAGTTTGACAGTTTAAAAATATACACGCACTTGTTTTTTGGGATGGCATGAAAGGAGAATTCGTTTGATTGGCAAGGAAATGATGTCAAATTTGAATGCGATAAAGTTAACAGAAACTATAAAGTTTTGTAACTATCTCTAATGGCCTAGGAATTATAACAATATATATATATATATATATATATATATATATATTATTCATTGTGATTGGAATTACTGCTCTTGAACCAAAACAAGAAAATAAGAAATTAAAGAGTCTTTGACTGTTCTTGTTGATTAATCTCAGTTTGGGTACATGGACTGGCTAGCTGCTCAAATAGGACTTCCACCGGCTGATGAGGAATTAAAAGTCGTACTGGACAGACTTATTGAATTTAATATGAAAAGTCAGAATGAAAAGAAAGATTTTGCCAAGCATTTCTATAAGAAGTTGTAGTCTCTTTGTGAACTAGAAGTAAGAGAATAATAACATTCCGTAATAAGGATTTTCATCAATTGGTCTTGTCAACTTTTCAAATCTTTCTTTGTGCGTTCTGGCTTCTGAATACTTTTTTGAACTACTAGAAGTAAGAGAATAGTATTTCATTCATTCCTTCTAAATTGTTTTTGTTTATCGTATTCAATTAAAATAGTAATAACATTCCATTAATACATAACTCTGATTTTATGAAATTAACACAATCAAGACGTCGCTTCCATGGTAAATGTCTTTCTTTTGTATAAACAAATCAACTTACATATTGATATTATATTTCTTTTTGTCTTAGAAAAATAATTTATTTTATTAAATTAAAATAGTAGAATAAAATAATTTTTTCTTTAATTTAACGGCCTTGCGTGGCTATTTTACCCTTTTTTTTTCTCCTCCCTATATTTTTTAGAAGTATTTAAAATTTGAGGATTTACGAGTACAAGATGTCGTATAACAATATTTTCTGTCCGGGGTCCATGAAAATCTTGCTTTAGCCTGCCTGCTATTTTCCTCGACCGTCTTTATTTCTTGTACTCGTCAATTCCCGATATCTATTTTATCCATTTAGTGGAAATTAAACCGTTCAAAACGAAATGACGTAGAAGCGAGAAAATTACAACCCAAATGTTTTCAAATCTTGCTGATACGATTAAAAAAATACATCATCAAAATAATTGAGTTAATCGACCAAACATCATCATCATCAATCTATCTAATTCAGTTTGTTTTGTTGAATTTTTGCAAACTATGGGTTGCATCATCCTTTGATTTTAGTTGCTCATAATTTATTATAATGTTGATCCGCGTTATTGACTCTGCTAAATTTATCAATTGACGATCGCTTATTGGTTGCACAATTAGCCTACTTTTCATAGAAAAGAAAAGATATTATATACTACTTGGGTAAAGAAATCTATATATATATATATATATATATATATATATATTGCATGTCAGAATGCAGTATGTAGGATTCCCACAGTTGAATTATATACAATCCAATGGAGCAGACATTTATGACTCGCAGCCTTAAATTAACTAGCTAGGAACAAACTTAATAGTCACTGTGACTTTGAACTTTTGCGTGTAATAACACTTTAATATGAACCATCACAACAGTTGTTATGAGAGGTAAGAACAACACAATTGACCATTAAAGTAGGTGGATTTACAGCATGTAAAGTCGAAATATTGTTTCACTATTTAATAACGGTTTAATTTACTATATTTTCACAAAGAGCAAAGAAATTAATTTTTTTTCTTAACTATGGAGATAGAGAGGTAATTAATTTTTAGATGTAAATTAAGTAAAGTGAACATTTGTAAGTTTATTAAACTTTACGATGAGTGAACAGAAATCTGATAAAACAATAAATTAAGTCCTTGTGAGTTGTAACAATTAATATGACAAAAAAGTGAATGAACCAACTTTTTTGCAAATCATTTTAACACAAGGAACAAAAATTGTTCTGTAAATCAGTATTAGATTCTGTATAACACATGGTCGCATGTGAGTAGTCAACCATTTGATCACTCTTTAGTTAACGAGATATGTTAAAATAATCATATGAATTAGAGTAGAATTTTATATAACACAAGTTCTCATGTGACTTTGATCACTCATTTGATCATATGGAAGAAGCACAACCACAACCTCTAAAAGTAGCGGTGATCGGTGCCGGAGTTTCGGGTCTTCTCGCCGCCCGGGAGCTTCGACGGGTCGGTCTAAATAATGTGGTGGTTTACGAAAAATCCGGCCAAATCGGAGGAACATGGGTGTACACTCCAGAAGTGGAAGATGATGATCCGCTCGGGTTGGATCCTAACCGGAAAATAGTTCACAGTAGTCTCTACAAATCGCTCCGAGCCAACTTACCGCCTACGCTTATGGAGTTCATGGACTATCCCTTTAATGTAAATGTTGGTGGGGATTTTGATAGGAAAACATACTTCGCCAGCCATGAGGAAGTGTTGCAATTCTTGAAGAACTTTGTCGCGCATTTCGGGCTTGAGAAGCTAGTCCGGTTTAATACCCGAGTTGTTCGGGTTGAGGCGGAAGACGGTGGCCGGAGATGGATTGTTGAGACGGAAAAAAACATGACCGGTGGCCTGGAAACGGGATCCGAAGAGGAAATGTTTGACGCGGTTGTGGTTTGTAATGGTCATAACACGCAACCCAGACTTGCAAATGTTCCAGGTATATACAAAACAATAGAATACTATTTCCGTCTCATAATTATTGTCTTATGTATTTGGGCAGTACGCTTTCTTATATATAACTGTATAAAATGTTGGACTACGGGCAATAATAGATTTTCTTTTTAAGTCCGAAAGCTCGATACTCATGGTTGTTGCGAAAACCAGTATGCAATTTGTAGTGATTTTTCAAATAATGCTTGTCAGGAATCAAAGGATGGCCTGGAAAACAAATCCACAGTCATAACTATCGAATTTCAAAGCCTTACAAAGATAAGGTACGTACTTAATTATTATCATGGTTCCTTAATTTCACTTCTAGATTTATATCATTATTAGTCCAAACGCACCCATATTTATTCAGAATTTTCATCATATCTAATGGGTTATGAAATCTCCCCCGCAGGTTGTAGTTGTGATTGGTGGTGGACCAAGCGCCTATGATATTGCATTTGACATTTCAATAGTAGCAAAAGAAGTTCATATCTCAACCAGAAATCCTCACGCTGAGGTTAGAAAATCTGAGACATCTAACAATGTGTGGCAGCATTTACAGGTAAAATACTTTGATATGCATTTTATATACTCGTTATCCTAGAATTATTATCCATTTAAATTTTTATTTTTTTTTAGTACAAATTATGCTAAAACTAAAATCTCATACTAAACAATCATTTCAAGACGAAAGAAGCATGCATTTTGCGAAAAAAAACTACCATTTCTTTATTAGGCGTAGACATATGTGAATTTGAAAAGTGTGTTATTCTTCTAATTGGAACAAGTCATGAATTATGGAGAAATAATATTCCTTCCGTTACAAAAAAATAAAACAATTTACATTCTAATTCGTGAATTATATGCCTTTTAATATATATAATTTACAAACTATAATGTAAACTATTGTTTTGAGACCAAGAGAACACTTCTGATTGCAGTGTACATTTCAGTGCCTGGTCTTTCAAAGACAATGATTAGGTATAATTTGTAATTGTCCTTTAAGACCACGATGGTATACAATAATTCATCATAAAGGAACCTTCAATAATAGTATTACTATGTATGTTTTTAGTGTCCCCTAGCCTGAGTTCAGCATTTCCCAAACTTTAAAATGAAGTTTTTGGCGGTTGCAGAAAATCTAAATTAATGGAGAACTCAAAAAAAAAAAAACAAAAAAAGGGAAAAAGGAAGGAAGGAGTACTATGGAGAAGCTGTTTTTAGTTTTCTGTCACACAAATATAGTACAACCTCTCAAAAGATTATCTGCGTTACTTGTTATTATGTACATAATACATTACTTTTATAATTTTATCGAAATAATTGATACTCCTAAATAATCATTAATTTACATTGGAATTCATTTATCATTTTTCTCCAGTTTTAGTTTTCAACGGAGCACTTCTGATTAAATCGATACAAAAAAAAAAAGAAAAACTAAATAAATAAAAAAATTGGAAATTTAAACATTGAAGTAACTTGTAGATCAAAGAGTGCCACGAGAATGGAGAAGTATGCTTCGAGGATGGGGCATCAATTATAGCTGATATCATTCTCCATGCCACCGGGTACATACATTATTTACTATCTCCTAAATTTTATTTTTTTTTTTGTTAGGAGTTTTATTCTCTAGATATTTGATCTTATATCAAAAGTCAAAACCCAAGGTCCTTTCAATCAATAATTTCTTATTACTCCTGTCTTTGAAAAAAAAAAAAATCATCGTACTATTTCGATAAAATAATAATTAGGGCTCTGTGAATGAGACGGGAGAGTAGAAAAAATCTTAGATTAATATTTATTCCTCCATAATCAATTTAACAGGTTCTACTATGACTTTTCTTTCCTGAAAACAAATGGTGTTGTGACTGTTGATGATAATCAAGTTGGGCCATTGTATAAGCATGTTTTCCGTCCCCAACTTGCTCCCACCCTTTCTTTTGTTGGCATCCCAAAACAGGTACGTACATTCTTTTCCTTGAAAATAAAATAGTACTCCTTCTGTCCCAAAATTATTGTTTATTTTGAGATTTCATTTTCAGTATACAATTTAAACTAAAAATAAAAACTTAAACAGAACAATAATTATGGGACGGGGGTAACAAATTTCATGAACTCAAAATATTATTTGGCACAGAACTATAAACAAAGTAGAACGAGTTCGAAAACAATTTAAATATTCTTTTTATTCCAAATATGATTGTTTCGTTTATTATAATCATGTAAGTATTAAAAATATAAGATAAATCCTTTCTTTGAGCACAAATTAAAGCTACATTATTTTTTTTTTTTCGGTAAAGGGTGAATAGATATCATTGAGAGTTTAACCATGTACAAGCCCATCAGCAACTCGATTACATGATATTTACAAATCTATTCCAAGTTTTCTATAAAAACTGACATTTAACTTCTTGCTATTTTGACAAAAATTATGTAATCTGGTAGTCAAAACCACCTGAATTTCTTTAAATCTAGTAGCAGGGTCCTTTTCTTGTTGCTTAAATTTCCTATTATCCTCTCATGTAAAGTTACATTCTTGATGCGAGTAATTTCCTATTCTATCACTCTGGATTAAATAAAAAATTTTGGTCGTATTGCAACCCTTCGTTAACTTCATCATTTGTTCTTTTTTTTCCTTCGCCATTTTGATTAAAATTGTTTAGTACTCTTCATTGATGTAGACAGTCAATTTTCTGGTGATGGAATTGCAAGCAAAGTGGATAGCAGAAGTTCTAGCTGGAAAAGTGGCATTACCTTCAAAAGAGGAGATGATGACCGATATTGAATTACATTATCAGCAACTGGAGAAGAATGGTATCCCAAAGCATCATACCCACAACATAGCCTTAAAAAGTGTAAGTCCTCATTTATTTTTCCATTTTGACAAAGGTCCCAAAAGAATAAAAATAAAAATCTGTTAGTTGAATAAAAATAATATCACAAAAATTATATATAGTCTCTTGAAAATAAACTTCCTAATCTAAAAAGTAAATTGGTTTTGCATGTTTATAAACTTGCCCTTTTTCCATCACACTTTTCTTAGTATGATTACACGAACAATACACTATTGAGATTGAAAAACATGAACTGAAAAATGGGTGTACAAATAAAGTAATAATTAAAGACTTTATAAGTGATATCTTTTGAAAAATATAGACATGAAAATAGACTTCTTCTTTTTATTGGGATGACATGTGAAAGGAGTATTTGTTTTTGTTTACGTAGCAAGGAATTGAAATCAAATCTTAAATTATTATAGAATTATAATTAAGAGAAACTAATTTTTTGGTTATCATTATCATTAAGTGTGGTCACTTTTTACTCCAAAACAAATTCAGATATTAATGATTTTTTGATTGGCACATATATTGTATCATTTTCATCTTTAATGAGTATTTTTATTGTTGTTATATTAATTTCAGTTTGAATATGTGGACTGGTTGGCTGCTCAAGTTGGATTACCACCCGCTGACGAGGAATTAAAGGTCCTACTGGAGAGAGTTATGGAATTTACTATAAAAAATCAGCATGATAAAAAAGACTTTGCAGAGCATTTTTATAAGTTGTAAATCATTGTAGTCTGAGCTACTTGTTCATGGGTATGGACTCCCATCAATTCTTTTTTGTGAACTTTTAAAATCTTTCTTTGTACGTTGTGTAATAACTGGAATTAAAAAAATATTATACTTCCAAAATAATTGCTTATCTGCATTTTAAAATACTAGATAGAATTGACGCACTTCATGCCTTCATATGCCATATAATAACATAACTAGTGAAAAAACTATTGAAAATTTAACTTGGTAAAAAAAATGACAAACACACATAAACAATGAACAATAGGACACAATCAAATTTTTACTTCACAACTAAAAAAAGAATGAATAAACAAAAATCAAAACTGAAAATTTTATAAGAAATAAAGGGCACCAAATAAAAAATAATAATTAGATAGTTACCTCTAGTAGGATTGGAATAGAGAAGTCGCTGAGTTTAGAAGAGAGATACTTGAAAGAAAGAAAAGATAAATGTTTTAAAATTTTTATTATTTGAGAATATATTATATATTCACAAATTCTAGATACAAAACTCTTAATATTCTTTTTAAGTTGTGAAGCAATCTCTTAAATCATCACTAATAAAGTCTTAAAATTCAAAGAAGTGAAGAAGAAAAGACAATAAGATTTAAAGTGACAAAAATGATTGAAACGGTTTCCTGACTAATCAAATTCACCTAATAATGGACATTAATTTATTTATAATCTTTAAAATAAAGATAAAAGAAGAAGCTGCTAATAAAAGGAGATCAAGAGTTTGAGTATTGAGGGATTACCAACTTGTAATATTTATATCTTTTCATTTTCTTGCTTAAGAAAAAAAAAAGAAAAAAAGAAAAACGTAGTTGATACTTAAAGACATATTTTTGTCGATCAACTTCACTTAATTATGAATATCATTTGTTTATAATCTTTAAAATAAAAATTAAAGAGAAAATTATTAATGAAAAGAGATCAAATATCAAAGAATTAAAAAATTACCAAACTCAATTAACATTCTATAATTACATCTTTTCAGTTTCTTAGTATAAGAATAAAAAGATTAGTTAACACTTAAAAAAAGAACTACCAAACTTAATTAACATTATCCAATTATAATATAGTGTGATGAATACTCGCCAATGGATAACTACGATTTTATAACTCCCGATTGATATTCAAATTATCGTATAATTTCAAAATTTAGGAGGATCAAAACATTGTTTCCCTTGTTAGTTTAATGCCATCCGCAGTTAAATATCTATTACCCTTGATGTCTGAAAAAACTAGTTTATCATTTCAAATTAAAATACTATACTCCATCTGTCTTAAAATTATTGTTCAGTTTAAATTTTAATTTTTAAAATAATTTAAACTAAAAATAATTGAACTCCTTTCTTTTCCCATTTTAATCTTCTCCAGGTAGACCCTTTCTTTTATAAAGATCTCCAAGTCTCTTCTCCTATTTTAATCTTTTTTCATATTAGCATCCATATCAAAATCCAATATCATCAAAACAATCAGTCATACCCAACCAAAAAAAAAAAAAGAGAGAAAAAAAGAAAAAGAAAAAAAGAGAATAGAGAGACTCGACCTACGGGAATTATTGATTTAGGAAGTGGCAAGAATGCCCCCATCTTGGAGAAAAACTCGTTGAAAGTCCTCACCGGAAAAAAAGAAATGTATGTCTTACTCATTCAGGACACTCTGCTGAAGAAAAACTTGTGAATTGTTGTAATTTTGACACTTGATTTCGAGTCTCCAACTTAGCTTTAGATATAGTTATGTACGTGAATTGAAGTTACCACACAGATGAATGGACTTCAATGCTTAACGTTACGAACTCTTAACCAAACCACAACCTAAAAACTTTAACCACAAGAATATTAACCAATTCAACGGCACCACATCAAAACTATCGTACCTCTTCTTATAATGATAGCGTGATCACATGTAAAATTAAACCAGATGCCGGTTTTGAAAGTAGTTGCTCATACACTCCTCATTAAACAGCGATCCAAAAAGAATTTAAGACCAAAACCAAAATTAACAAAACTAATCTTCTCAAAAATCAAGTCAGAACATATGAGACCAAAACTAGAGGTGATGGAATCATTTGTTCAGCCTGCTCATTACTTTTTATCTTCCTTCTCAGCCTCGGCTGCCTTCTTCAACCGCTTACCCATATGGCGTGCATTCATCCTTTCCAACCGAAGCTTGTCATAGGCCTTGAATGACTTCATGTCTTCTGTTACCTTAACAAGCTCCATGGTTGGCTTCTCAGCAACAATAGGCAAGTACGAACCCTGGACTTGAGTTGCTGTTGCCAATTCCTCAGGAGCAGAATCACCCGCCTACGATTAAACAAGTTAATTGCAGCATGAAATGGAAAGATAGCAATAATTTGTCAATGCAGAGGCCGGTAGAAGAAAAGGCAAGGGAAAAGATAAATCGATGTTTTCTTACCTTGAATTTACGTGTACGTCTGGGGAAGACAACCAAGTTAGCCTTGTAAAGTTTAAGGCGCTGTACGTTGGCCTGAAAACCCTCCAAGGACCTGTTTTTGCGGCGATGATCCACTGAAATCCCAACAGTTGGGGCAAGTTTCTTGGGAACTCCAGCAGCCTGTATAACCAAAGAGAAAAACAGAGAGCTATTAGAAGAAATGCATTTGGTCTTTAATCTGAGAATAAAACAGCCTATTTAACTTCAACATCCACCTTGAGCTCTTCCAAGGTAAAACCTCGGCCAGCTCTGACTTTCATATTGTACTTTACAGTCTGGCCATGGACAATTGGACGTAAAGGTCCAGCAGTGGGCCTCGGGAAGATTTTGACAGCCTTCTGCTGCCTAGCTGCAGGACAAAATGACAATAAGACATTGGTTGTTCAGTGGATGCAGCATAAAGTTGACCACACAAAGACAGGCCACCAAGACTTCATGCAACTACATACCATTTCTTCTCCTGGTCTTCCGTGCAGGCTGGTTGAACCAAGTCCTTACATAATTCTGCCAATGTTTCCTGAAGTGTGAGCTGGGAACAACGTTGTTATGCTTAACCATTTTCTACCTACAACAAAAACCATCTTCAGAATATTTGGTAGAAAGAAGAAGCCATAGACACATGCAAACCAGTCTTCAAGTCCGCAATCCAACAACTAACAAGGGAAATTCAACAAATGCCCATACCAGATTCCTATACTTTTGGCAACTACATTACTTATCCATTGAAACAAAAGAGATATTCACACAAAGCAATTATCTAAATATGCCTACAGAACTTCAAAACCAGAGAAAGGCAGAAATGATTGCATGTATGAGAGTGAAGCTGCCTAACAATACGCCACATGCACGATCATTTCAACATCTTTGCCGGAGTGAGTAGTGAACAAACTATAATTGAGAAATGGGAACTGGCAATAATAAAAATTCTTTATGTTCCAACTCGAAAGTTATAGCAAGAAAAATGTAGAGTTCACTTCATATCAATAAAATAGGAAAAGCACAAGTCCAGCATGAATTTTTCTTGTTCCATCTAAAAAGAAACATCACGAGGAAGATAAAATGTTACATACAATGAATGTTCTTCCAAAGAATAGATTAAACAGTAGTATTTTTTAGACATCCTTTTAAACTCAATGGTTTTCCCCAACTCTAAATATTAACCCACCTTTTTTAAAAGGGGAAAATGCTTAACTTCAAGATACTGTATCATAAAGCAACGTTGAATGAATTCTAAACAGCAAGTCCCCATTATTTTGCACTTTTAAACTATAGCCGGAAGCTAATTTGAGAAAACATGGAGATCCGGAAGCGAAAATATCACCCAAAAATCCTCTCATCCTCACAAGCCAATACAGTTCACCTTTCCAAAATCTAACAGGCAATGATAAACTACAGCCGCAGACATAAGAAGTAAATTGGAACAAAAAAGCTATTCCGAAATTCAATCTCAAACAGGGATGATTTAAGCTGCAGCTTTTCTTCAGCATCCAAGACAAAATAGAAGCATAATGATAAATAGATAGACAAAAGAGCAAAGATACACGTAAAGAAGCTTACAGAGAAGAGCGGAGCTTACTTCGGTGGACGGCCGCCGCTGCAGCGGAAGTTCAGGGCAGAGCTACGGCAATGGCGACGGTAGTCTCCTCTTTTGTACGAGCGAGAAGAGACTGATGATAAAAGAGGAATGAAAAATAGAAGAGCAAAACCCTAGTCTCAATTAATTGGGCTTCGGAGGTTAAAAAAGATAACAATTGGGCTTTAGTGGTTCAGTCCTTTCTGCAAATTACGTGGGCTACTTGGCTTATTAAAATCATTATTATCCCTTTTATATATATATATATATATATATATATATATATATATACCCTATTAAAGCAGAAGACATATATATATACCCTATTAAAGCAGAAGACATGAAGCTTATGTGGTAATTACGTATGCATCTGTTTTGGCTCCAATGCACCATATTTCAGATTTCAGGAGTCTTTTTACCACGTGTAAGTCTCTTTTAATTAGAAGCTATATAATTCTTTTTTAAAAAAAAAACACATGTTTTAGATGTGACACTTATCCAATGAAAAAATTCTACAAATAAGAATCAGTTACATTTCAAACGAATGGATATATTAATTCAAATTCAAATGTCCAATCGTACAGTTTTGCAGGCTTAATATAAACAAAAAATAAAAAAAAACTAAATCCAGTAATTAAGAATAATGCATTATAAACTAATTATTTATTATTCCCTTATAACCTCAGATTTATAGGTATATTTTTTTAAGCCCCAAACCATAGCATAAATAATATATACACTAAATTAATTCCTCAAAAAATAATAATTCAATTAGATTTTAATAAAATAGTAATTTAGAAGGAGCGTCCTGGCATCTGCCTGGGCCAAACATCTAGTATATATTAAAGGAAAGAAAGATAATCGACATGTGTCGCTAATTGAGACCATCAAGCATCACTTTTAACTTATTATCATTTTAGCTCTTAAATTTGTATTTATGTGCTACTTTGTCTTCAATTTTATCGATTTTATATTTTCAAGGACGATTAATTGTATCTAATCCCCAAAGTCCTCTTGCCTATAAATAACCCATAGGCATCTAGACATAATTTATGTATTTTTTAATATATTTTTTAATCCAAACATAATATTAGTTAGTGGTAACAATTTTTATTATACAACTTTTCAAAATTTTTGTTGTAATATTTTTGGCCAGATCTTACAAATATACATCTCATAAATAATATCAATACCTCTCATTTTGATCTAAAATTGATTAATCAAAAAAATTTTACGATTTTAAAAAATATTAATAACTACATTATCTAATTAATTCTTTTGGAAGATAAATTTTCAACATTGACAAACATACGCAAAGCGCGGGACACATACTAGTTATTTCAGAAAAGAAAATTATGATTTTGTTGCACGAAGGTTTTTGATATTATACAAGAAACTCCGTAAATTAATATAGTTGGTCCCTCAAAGTTATATCAATTCATTATAGATTTATTAATTAATTATATTAATCTATTGATAAAACTAATAATTTATTGATCTAACGAGTTTTTTCAATCATATTTATAAGTAAAATGCCATTAATTTCAGAAATAGAAAAGTCTATTCCCAACTCTATTTATATCATTACTACCTCCATTTTTTTTATCAGTCGCTTTAGGGTTTGCATATATATTAAGAAAGCAATGATTGATAATTTAAATTTTAAGTATAATACCTTTCTTACCCCTAATTAAAAGTATTGGAACTCTACAAATATTTAAAATTGGAAAATTGATGATGAAAATGAAGAATTTTATAAAATCATATCTCAATTTAGAGAATCATATATTAGTATTTTAACTAGTAATAATATTTTAGAATTCTTGATTTCAATAAAAGATTAAGAGTTAAGATCAAGGATAATTGAACAAGTTGGTGATATTACAAATAGTAGTAAAGATGAATCATTAGAAATAGATAATAATCCATATACAATGGATAAAGTATATAAAATGCTCAAAGAAAAATCTAATAGGATAGAAAAATCTCCTTCTACAGTAAGTGATTCAGGAGAAGAGATTAATAATCTCAAAGAAGAAATAAGAATTCTGAAAAACCTTAATAATTTTAGATGATAGAGTTTCTAATTTAAAAATAAGAAATAGGTAGATTCTGATAAGAATATATTAATAAGTGAAACAAGAAATGAGAATTTTCTAGGATCTTTAGATTTAATCACTTCTTTTACATTTCATGTTATTATTAAATTATTGGTAGATCATGATTGTAAAATAGAACTAGTAGCATTAATTGATAGTGTCATACAAGAATGTAAAACTGAGATGAATATACTATTAGAAAAACGATTGATTAAAAAGTCAAATTCTCCATGGTCATGTACTAGTTTCTATGTCAATAAACATAGTGAGATAGAAAGAGGAAGACCAAGATTAGTGATAAATTATAAACCTCTTAATAAAGTATTAAAATGGATTAGACACTCAATCCCTAATAAAAAAGATTTATTGGATAGATTATATGATGCATTGATATTTTCTAAGTTTGACTTAAAATCTGGATATTGGCAAATTCAAATTAATAAGTTAGACCAATATAAAATTGCTTTTAATGTTCCAGTAGGTTATTTTGAATGGAAAGTGATGCCATTTGGATCAAAGAATGCATCTTCTGAATTTCAAAAAATCATGAATGATATTTTTATTCCTTATAGTGAATTTATCATTGTCTATATTGATGATATATTAGTATTTTCTAAGGATATACAATCACATTTTGATCATTTGAATATATTTCAGAAATTAATAAAACAGAATGGATTTGTTATATCTCAATAAAAAATATCTTTGTTTCAAACAAAATGTTAGATTTTTAGGACATAAAATTGAGAATGGGAAAATAATTCCTATTGATAGAAGTATTGAGTTTGTTTCTAAATTCGCAGATGAAATTTTAGAAAAAACCCAATTACAAATATTTTTAGAAAGTTTGAACTATATTCTGCCTTATTATAAGAATTTAGCATATGATACTGCTATTTTACATGATAGATTAAAGAAGAATCTAAAGCTTTGGACAGAGGAGCATACTAAGGCTGTTCAAAAGATAAAAAGTAAAGTAAAAATACTATCATGTCTAGTTTTGGCAAATCCCAAATGGGATAAAATAATAGAAACTGGTGCTTCAGATATAGGATATTGTGGAATACTAAAACAAATATGTCCTGATGATAAACAAGAAAAATTGATAAGATATTACTCAGGAAAATGGATTCAAAGTCAGAAAAATTATGCTACAGTTGCTAAGGAAATTCTTGCAATAGTTAAATGTATTTTGAAATTTCAAGATGATTTATATAATCAGAAATTTACGGTTAAAACAAATTGTCAATCAACAAAATATATGTTTAATAAGGATTTTAAACATGATGTTTCTAAGCAAATGTATGCTAGATGGCAACTAATTTAGCTCCTTTTGATTTTGACATTGTATACAAGAAAGGAAAAGATAACAATCTCCTAGATTTTTTATCTCGTGAATTTTTACAAGATAATACCACGAGGAAATAACCATTTCAGAGGTCGAGGAGGAAGAGGTAATACCTCTTATGGAAGGAGTCATATCCTTTCACAAATTGCAAATATTGAGAAAGATTACTCATTATATGAGAAATTCATGAAGTTTATAGAAAAAGAAAAACAAGATGAGGAAAAAACAAAAGAAAATGGAGAATCATCCTCTACTGCTTCATATGCGGGAACAGTTATGGTTGAAGATAATATTACTTCTTACCATGCTAATAGCAACAAGGATATTATATTCTTTATAGAAGAAAATGATTTGCAATGGGAAAAAGACCCATGGATTTTAATAGCAAGATATTTGGATATAACATCATATGCTGCTACTTTATATAAAGCGAGGTCATACTATAAGAACATACTAAAAGCCTCAAATTCATGTGAGATAACACATTTTTACTCTAATAGAACAAGTAATATATATAATTTTAGTAAGATTATTATTAAGCGGATTATATCTGCTGAAGAATGGGGGTTATCAACATTAAAGGAAAAGGAATTTATACTTCCAGACTCTAAAATTTCCTTTAAATATAATTATTGGATTATATTGATGCCTTTTATAAGGTATTTTTATATGAGAATCCTAATAGGAAACACTCATAGTTTATAAATGTATGTGGAAATAGTTATAAAAATCCTATGCCAAATTGGTTTACTCAATGGTGGTACACTTATGGACCATCAAAGAAAATACTTCATGACATATTTACTCCATTATATGGGCAATGGGTGAAGATTTCGCCAAAGATTTCAGAATTAATGACCTCTAATAGATATAATGAAGAAATAGGTACAATGATTTTGTGGAATTCTCAATTCCTTGGATTTGGAAATGGGTTCCAAAAGTTGGTTATACCGACAAAAGAATGCCGTGTCTCAAAAGAGTTAGTTATACTAAATTCTAGGATAAAATTTTAAAAATTAACCCAGAGACAAAACAATTCTATGGATAAGATGTGATGGATGAAATTCATCAGAAGAATGAACAATATTATACTGAAAAATAATAGAATGAATCAAGGGAAATTAATCATCTCCAACATATATCCATGAAGATAAAATTACCGAAGGATTATATCTCTAAAAAAGAGATGATTAAAGCTTATATGGAAGAATTGAAACAAGAATTAAAAAGGAATCTGGCAGATAATAAATCAGATGTGTCAATGACAACAGCAACATCAAATGAGGATTGCTTAGTTGGAGAATCACAAGACCCAGAAGAAGACAATGAAGATGATATGATAGAAGAACGTCTCAATAAACTAGTTGAAGAATTGAGAGAGGAGACAAAGGGGGACATCATGCTCAAGCAAAGTCAGAAAGCATAATGTAATACAATAATGAAAAAGATAAAGTTGTTTTAAATAAAGCAACTTAAAACTCAAGTGTGATGTAATAGTATTGTTTGCAACTATTCAGATCTCAAAATAAAATTTTGGAGTCCGTAATAGTACTAGAAATAGATAATAATCCATATACGATGGATAAAATATATAAAATGCTCAAAGAAAAATGTAATAGGATAGAAAAATCTCCTACTACGGTAAGTGATTTAGGAGAAGAGATTAATAATCTCAAAGAAGAAATAAGAATTTTGAAAAACCTTAATAAGAGTTTAGATGATAAAGTTTCTAATTTAGAA